TTTTACTGTTTATTTTGAATTAAAATAGATTTATTGTTATAATCTAAATATTTATTTAGTTTATTCAACATCATTTACATACAATGATACGAGATGCAACATTAGATACATCGTATCTTGGTATACAATTTTTACCAGTTGAAAAAAGACTTTATTTAAAACTTCAATCTATGTTACGACGACTTGAATTACGTTTTTCATCACTTAAAGAAACACTTTTTCTTTATAAAGATCAACTTATATGGTACTTTTTCTTTTCTGTTATTATTTTTTTTTTCATTCTTAGTGATGACTTGATTTTTTGTTCTTTTTTATTTATTCAGGAGTGGTCTTTCTCAAGATGATACTAGTTTAGTTTATTCATTTTTTCGTCTCTATTATTGGCCACATATTAAAACATTATTAAATTCATCGACTACACAGTAAAAAAAAAGAAGCAATTTTTTATTGTCACAAAAAACAAAAAAAACGAACCTAGATTTTGAATATTTTAGATATTTAACAATTGATACAACAGCTAGTCCAGCGGATGAATTAATTATTTCATCAAATTCGACAAGTGAAATTTATCAAGCATTTTTCTTAGGAACTCTACCAATACCTTATCGAGTACTAGTTATAAATATTAATTTAATAACAATATTTTGTTTTTTTCATGATGGTAAGAATATTTTCATTAATTTTTTTGTTTTAATTCTTTTGAGATGTGTTTTTTTTTTGTTTTTGATTGATTAGAAGACGATTTGATTAATAATGAAGATGTGAATACTCAAATAGTTGATATATTAAAAAAAGATTTAGATACAATGTTACCTAATTTTGAAGAACATTTACGAAAAAAATATCCATTGTTAGTATTATTTTTAATTTTTTTTTTGTTTGCTTAAATAATTTTGTATATTGAATTAAATTTATTTTATAGAACTGATAATACTGTACGAACTGTTTATTATAATAAAATCAATATGGCACATTCATCAACTGTTGATTGGACACGTGAACCAATGACTTCTATGTCTGGTATTATGAGTGCACTTGCTGAAGATATGCAATGGTAAAATAAAGAAAGAATTTTATGCTTTCAGTGAATTGCTTGTAAAATTATGAAGAATAATTGACAAGTATTACTAGAATTTTATACTTTGTTCTTGATTCTCACATAAATCATTTAGGTTTCTAGAGAACTACGCCTCTTTTTGGTTTTTGAAGAGACTACAACCAATGTACATGAAATTTTTACTGCAGATAGAGCACCTACAATAAGAAGACATGTGTTCGAGGAATAAAATTTTAAACAAGATGTTTGGACCCACTTACGACCTTCGTCTAATTTTGTCCGATCGGACTGAGAATGCTTTGGAGATAATTTAGACTATATCTCAGAGACGATTTGAAGCTTTTTTTGAAAATCTGACTTTTTTTAATGAGAGAAGTATGTAAAGGTTCAGATCCAAAATCAGGGCGCTGGCGTTCAGAACTCTATAAATCCAGATCAGAAGGTCAAAAATAGAAACGGTCGATTTCAACTGTAGAAAGTACTTTCAACAATCGGTCGTCAAGATTAGATGAGGACCGTAAGTGGGCTTGATCCAAAAACCAGAGTTTTCTTGAGAAAACTGTGAAAACCTTGTTTAAATTTTCTTTTCTTCGAACACGTATCTCCTTACTTTAGATGTTTTATCTGTAGTAAAGATTTCATGCGAATCCGTTGTACCCAATTCGGAGACCAGAAATGGCCAGAAAAGAATAGGGTACTCTGAAGTGATATTCTTGCATATTTTCGGACTTATACAGTAGCATTGATACATATTCTGCATCAATACAGATACCTTTATAAACCGCGAACATTACCAAAGCCGTACAAAAGAATAGAGTTCAAAATGAATGTCGCACAGACATCTATAGTTACCTTAGTTTTAATTGTAAAAGATAATGATAGTTACTTAATATTTAAAACTCAAACTAACTATGGATCTTCGTGTCCACAAAATGAAGAATTTGTACGCTCGAACATAATAGAAGACTTGAGATGTTCTATTACAGCGAAGCATTAACGTATATTTTCCTGTAACTTTATCAGATCGTCTCCTTTGAACATTTAAAATGATGAATGAATGATTGATAGAATAGAAATAAAAATTTTTTAAAAATGAATTTTATTTAGGTTTCATCCATCTGGTGAAATAATGGTTAAACGTGAAAATGATCCATGGATAATATCTAAACGATCGGATATGCGTGAATTATTCGTTGTACTTAATCAAAAAAATGCGAATTTAAAAGAAATTAGCGGTAAAAATATTATTTTGATTACTTCATAACAACGAACAAAAAAACATATATTTTTTCCATTTAGATAAAGTCAAGCAAATCTTTGCTACACAATTTGGTAACATTTTACTCATAGAGTGATTTTATAATAAAAGAATTTTATTAATTATTTTTCTTTCTTTTTTTTTCTAATTTAAATGAGTATTAGTTATAATATAAATAAATAAATATACATATATATATATTTGTAGAAAAAATAAATATAATGTCAAGATTATTAACTGAATCTTGTCTTTTTTCGATTGCATAAACAAAACAAAACAAAACAAGAAATCATAAAACATGAATGGATCATCAACAAGTAATGGTCCAACAACAAATGAACAATCAATTGGAAAATTTCAAGTAATTAATCTTGACAAATTACCAGTAAATACTGTTAATAATCATGACGATACTATTCAACAAGTATCATCAATACCTGATGAATCAGGATGTCCATCACGTTTTCAAATGATTCGTGTTGATAGAAATTTTGGACGTGGTCGATGGAAAGTTAATGATTATGAACCACCTGAAAATATTTCAACTTCAATAATTCCATCAACAAATACAATCGAAAATGATTCCATTAATATTCCTAATAATTCAACATTTACAACAGCAACAATTCCTAATATATCAGCTACTATACCAACAGTTATTACTGGAGATTCCAATGTAGCTTCATCTGCTACACTTGCTGCAACAGCTGCTGTAAGAATCAATGTTGTAGTTTTTTTTTAAAGGATATGTTGCAATTAGATCGTTTTTTTGCCCACGAATGACTAAAAATTAGTTCAAACGCTGGAGAACAGATCCAATTGAAACTTCTATCACCTTTTCTTACGGTTTCGAAGCTTCCCGTTGGACTTTGGAATCCTTTTTAGTCATTCGACTTTTGAACTTTTCCCGTGGAGGAGACCTCAGGCGAGTTTTTCGAGCGACAAAAAGTTGTTCACTAAAACTATAACAAGCATATCACTAGATGCAGTTGTGTCCACAGAGTCTGAATATGACATTCAAAGTGGAATTCGAAGCAATTTTCGAGTATAAATTGAGCAAATAAAAGTCCAAAAATGGTTGTTTCTAAGGTTTTTAGCCATTTTCAGCATGTTGTTCAATTTTTTTCATACTTTTGAGTTCATATTCAGAATCAGCATAAAAAACTGCATCGATTGGTATATGTGACTGTTTGACACTCGAACATTTTGTGGTACTAAAAGCTCACACAAAAGAATTAATCACAGCTTTCTATACAATATTTCTAATTGACCGAAACAATTCGATTACTTATCGATTGTTTTTATGACTAAATCGACTAGGAATAAATAAAACAAGTATTTATACAAATGTGGGCATATTTGGGAAATGAAAAAAACAAGGTTTTCATATATAGATAGGCTAATATATGCCACAATGATTGTATAGTTCATTCAGCGATAAAATGCCTTTTTCATATATAAAACTTAATTCAATCTAAATATGATATTCGTAATCAGCACGCAAAATTGTATATGAATGATATGCTTTTGAAGATATTTGAAGAAAAATATTTTTTTTCGAATCCTGAGGAGTACCCTAGAGAGCCAAAATATCACTTTGACATTTTTCAAAACTAGGTCGTAGGAAATACTTCTAGTGGCACCCTGACATCTTTCAGATAGATAAAAGTCAAAAATATCATGGGCAAAAACCGGCCTAATTACAACATGTCCTTTCAGTCAGTAGTAGAGATGCATGGGACCAATTTTAATCCTAATGATAATAGAAAAGATTATTGACTTATAGACAATTCAATATGCTCTATAATCTAAGTAGATCGAAGATGATTTTAGCAAAATATTTGTTAGTTCCGGAAACCAGCATATAAAGACCTAAGGCGATTTCTTATGATCATATTCGAAATCAGTATGACTGATAATCTATAATTCAGTAGCTTTTAGCGAGAAACTGATTGATCAATAGAAAAATGTTTGTTTGTTAGAACCTAACAATCTATTTATAAGATTTATTTTGTTTTGCTGAATTATCATTGAAAATCTTTCTTGTTTTGTTTAGTCGGCTGCTGCTGCAGCTGCAACTGCGTTTCAACAACAACAACAACAAATGGCACTTCAAAATGCATCGACTCTAGTACCATCAGCCAATGTTCCACCTCCAGCTGGACTTCTTCATGCATATCCACCTGGACCATTACCTAATCAACCTTATCTTTTACCAAATCATCATCCTCAATTTGGTTATTATCCATTCTATCCAACACCTTATCCACCATATGCAACTTCATGGGCTGCTGCTGCTGCTGCATTGAATCCTTTTTTACAGCCTCCAACATTAGCAGCAGCAGCACCACAACCAACAACATCTTCATTACCAACTACAGCAAATATCAATGATCCTATTCGACTTTCAGATACAGGTAAATTCAAAATTTTCTTTTTTTTTGTCTTAAACAAAAGAGAAAAAAAAAATTCAACATTTCAATATTTAGTTTCGGATATTAATGGTGAAAATACAGTGATATCTTCTGCAAACTTTCCAAATCCAACAAATGATCATATACAAAATGCTCAATTAGCTGCTGCTGTTGCTGCTGCTGCACCATTTCTATATGCAACTCATCCTTCTCATTCACCATTTGTTCCACAAGCATCATCAACAACATCACCTTATGCAACTATACCATCGTATAATTCTGTACCACCACTTCCAACAATTATTCCACGAAATCAAGCATCACAAACATTTCCAACGTCACATACTATTTCAAATAATATAAATGATACACAATCATCATATCAAGCACCTATATTGACATCACCAAAACATGACACAACAAAAAATCTCATTCAGCAATCATCATTAATCTCAACAACAAAACCAAAACCTTTAGCTACAACAGTTGTTAATTGTATTAATAATGAATTATCAAAACCAACACAAGTTACAGATTTAATATCATCATCACCACTTATAACAACATCGGAAACAATTCCACAATCATTAATTTCACCTATAAATATTAATGTAACAAATCCATCAACAACATCATTAAGGGATATATGGACATATACAACAAATGGTTCACCATTAAATTTAACTCAAACAGCACAAACAGCAGCTGTTACAGCTGCAGCTGCAATTGGTTTATTAAATAATGAAAATAGTCAAAATACTGAAATAGCTAATGAAATTCTTAAAGAATTAACAACACCAACAAAACAAAATAAGTAAGAAAAAAAAAAGAAACGTGTTTGTTTTTTCTTCGGTAAATATTTTTCATCTATCCTTAATTTTCAAGCTTTAGTTTATTAGAAAGACGAGCTTGTCTTAGTTTAAGAAGACAGCTCAGGTATTTAATATATTAAAAAAAAAAACAACTAATAATGGTGTTCAATAAAAAAAAATTAGCCTATAAAACTATTTATGCTATCAACTCACTGATGTCGATTATTATCAGTACGATGGATGTCTATTTTGTTTTTTTGATTTTAGTACAACTGATATTGATAACAAGATTTCGGCTGCTATGGTAAGTGATTGAAAGGATTAATAGATTGATATTTTGATTGGAGAAGTTGAATATTAAAGTACCGGCTAGATCCAATCGAATTCGCGTCTGAAATTTTTTGCACTCGATGAACTCTAGTGCATACCCGGAACTGTTAAATCATTAGATAGGTACGAAAATTTTAAATCTTTTATGAGAAATTTTCACTATTGAATTTTTTTGAGATTAAAGACGCGACATATTTCAGTACTTAAAGAAAACAATTTTAATCTTAAGAATAAAAAAATAAAGATCTCTCAACATAGTTTTAGGAATTTTTCTATTTAAACTGATGATTTAAGGTCCTCTAAAAATGTTACTGTTCGTCAAAATGATCGAAATTTAGATAACTTCATGGGAAAATAGCCCGTCATTTACTCTTTCATAAATGACAAAAATTTTTACTCAGCATCTCTTCTCTTCCAAAAATTTTGGAAGATTTTCGTTGCCCCCCTATTCGAAAAATCAGTAGTATCAAACTTGGAAGTTGAATTCAAATATCCATTTATTCAAGTACTCAATTAGTCAATTCCTAGAATGTCACTAGAATCATCTAAAACTGATAGGCATTGTCTGTGATGCTTGTAGCCAGAGGTGCAGAATCTACCCGTGTGCGCGTACGGCCGTACGGGGAAATTTTTGAAAATTTATTAGCATCTGGGGAAATTTTTTGGAAAACATTTTTCCCTCGTAGGAAAATAATTTTCCCTCGTAGGGAACTATTTTTCCCTGGTAGGAAAATAATTTTCCTTCGTAGGAAACTATTTTCCCCTCGTAGGAAAATAATTTTCCCTCGTA